TTAGACCAATATAATCCCTCGCTCTAATTGGCGTTTAAATCAATAATGATAAATCATCACGTGATATGCACGTGATTGCAATTAAGGACAATTTTGTCATTGCATAATGTAATGTACTTAGTAAAATATATATAGATATGATATGATATACATAATATTTATTTAAATGTCAAGATTTAGGGGTGTTCAAATTTTTGACCGGCCGCAATTTCCTATCTTACCCTATCCTAAAAATCGGTTAGCCGCAAAAATCGAGTAGGAATGTGGAAGAGTTTTTAGTCTTTCGATTAAATCGGGTAGGAATGCAGAATAACCATTCATTTTCGCATTCCTACCCTACCCTACCCGCATTAATTAATTTAATTAATTTTTTAAATATATATATATATATATGTATATATATATATATAAAATAAAAAACCCTAATTGCTAACATTCTACTCATCTATTCGAAGACATCCTTTGAGAGGCGCCTCAGCCACAGTCCCACTGCTCCTCCTCAGCTCCTCCATTGTTAAGGACCTTCAGCCTTCACTTCAGGTACTCTGTNGTTTGAAGGAAGTGAACACATCAATTTTGAAGGTACGAAATGCTGTTAAATATGTGAAGTCTTCTCCTTCAAGGCTTGACAAGTTTAAATCATGTGTTGAGAGACAAAAAATTGGTGAAAAAGGTCTTCTTTGTCTTGATGTTCCAACGAGATGGAACTCTACATATTTGATGCTCAAAATTGCTGAACAGTACCAACGTGCATTTGATTTGTTGCAAGAAGATGATGGGCAATTTGTAAGTCAATTGAGTGAGGGGGGTGGTTTAGGGCCACCTACATTTGATGATTGAGTNTGGTGCATTCAAAAAAGATGGAGATGGTGTTAGTAGTGACCTTAGTGTTGCTAAATTAAATGAAAAGAAAATTAGGGAGGCAATTGCTAAAATGATTATAGTGGATGAATTGTCGTTCCGGTTTGTTGAAAGAGAAGGGTTTAGAGACTTGATGAGGACTGTTGAACCTAGATTTCGTATACCTTCCCGTACCACTGTGATGAGGGATTGTTTGCAATTATATATGATGGAGAAAGAAAAATTGAAGCATATGTTTGTCTCATCTAGTCAAAGGGTTTGTCTTACTACTGATACATGGACGTCTATTCAAAATCTAACTTATATGTCCTTAACTGCACATTTCATTGATAAAGATTGGAAGTTACACAAATGAATAATCAATTTTTTGAAAGTTCCTAATCATAAGGGTGTGACAATTGGAAGGGAAATTGAAGCATGCATGCTTGGGTGGGGGATAGATAGCATATTTACTGTTACAGTGGATAATGCTACTTCTAATGATGGTGCTCTTGATTATTTAAAGAGGCGAACTAAGGATGGGAAGAGCACTATCTTAGAAAATGAATTTATGCATGTTAGGTGTTGTGCACACATTTTGAATCTAATTGTCATGGAGGGTTTGAAGGAAGTGAACACATCAATTTTGAAGGTACGAAATGCTGTTAAATATGTGAAGTCTTCTCCTTCAAGGCTTGACAAGTTTAAATCATGTGTTGAGAGACAAAAAATTGGTGAAAAAGGTCTTCTTTGTCTTGATGTTCCAACGAGATGGAACTCTACATATTTGATGCTCAAAATTGCTGAACAGTACCAAGGTGCATTTGATTTGTTGCAAGAAGATGATGGACAATTTGTAAGTCAATTGAGTGAGGGGGGTGGTTTAGGGCCACCTACATTTGATGATTGGGACATTGTTCGTGTGTTTATGAAGTTTTTGAAACTTTTCTATGAAGTCACTTTGCGCATTTCTGGATCATTGTATACCACATCTAACTTGTTTTTTTTTCAAGAACTTCCTATTGTGTATGATCATTTGCAAGGTTATTGTGCAGATGATGACTATCGAGTACCATGGCTATGAGAATGAAAAGCAAGTATGATAAGTATTGGGGTCATTTAGATAATATTAATTTGATGTTGTTTGTTNGCACATTTCATTGATAAAGATTGGAAGTTACACAAACGAATAATCAATTTTTTGAAAGTTCCTAATCATAAGGATGTGACAATTGGAAGGGAAATTGAAGCATGCATGCTTGGGTGGGGGATAGATAGCATATTTACTGTTACAGTGGATAATGCTACTTCTAATGATGGTGCTCTTGATTATTTAAAGAGGCGAACTAAGGATGGGAAGAGCACTATCTTAGAAAATGAATTTATGCATGTTAGGTGTTGTGCACACATTTTAAATCTAATTGTCATGGAGGGTTTGAAGGAAGTGAACACATCAATTTTGAAGGTACGAAATGCTGTTAAATATGTGAAGTCTTCTCCTTCAAGGCTTGACAAGTTTAAATCATGTGTTGAGAGACAAAAAATTGGTGAAAAAGGTCTTCTTTGTCTTGATGTTCCAACGAGATGGAACTCTACATATTTGATGCTCAAAATTGCTGAACAGTACCAAGGTGCATTTGATTTGTTGCAAGAAGATGATGGGCAATTTGTAAGTCAATTGAGTGAGGGGGGTGGTTTAGGGCCACCTACATTTGATGATTGGGACATTGTTCGTGTGTTTATGAAGTTTTTGAAACTTTTCTATGAAGTCACTTTGCGCATTTCTGGATCATTGTATACCACATCTAACTTGTTTTTTCAAGAACTTTCTATTGTGTATGATCATTTGCAAGGTTATTGTGAAGATGATGACTATCTTTTGAGTACCATGGCTATGAGAATGAAAAGCAAGTATGATAAGTATTGGGGTCATTTAGATAATATTAATTTGATGTTGTTTGTTGCTATTGTCCTTGACCCACGTTATAAATTGGATGCTTTAGAATTTTGGCACAATGACAATTACCAGGCTGAGGATGAAGTAGTTAAGGTTCAATTAGTTGAAAAGATCAAAAAGGTCATTGACCGATTATGCCAACAGTACACTACCTTTAGTGTGGGGTGTGGAGTGGGGTCAAGTGTTGACCATGAGAAAANCTGAGGATGAAGTAGTTAAGGTTCAATTAGTTGAAAAGATCAAAAGGGTCATTGACCGATTATGCCAACAGTACACTACCTTTAGTGTGGGGTGTGGAGTGGGGTCAAGTGTTGACCATGAGAAAAATGTGTCTTCGACTGAGATGTCTGTTCAAGATCAAGTACCTACAAATTTCATGAATAGGTACCGCAAGTATAGGGCTGAGAAAGGTAATGTGGACAACAAATCAGAGTTGGATCGATATTTGATGGAGGATGTTGAATTTGTTAGCGCCAATTTTGATATTTTGAATTGGTGGAAGGTTAATTCTTCTAAATTCTCAATCCTTGCCAAAATAGCTCGTGATGTGTTAGCTATTCCCATTTCTACTGTGGCATCAGAATCAACTTTTAGCACTGGGGGTCGTATTTTAGATCATTTTCGGAGTTGTCTGGCACCCAAAACAGTTGAGGGTCTCATATGTGCACAAAATTGGCTTCAATCGTCATCCATTGCTTATGACTTTGAAGATGTTTTGGATGATTCAGAAAGCTATAAACTAGATTCAGGTTTTTATACTTTTATTGTTATTTTTTTATTATTTGTTGATAAGTTCTTCGTATTTAATTTTTTTTCATACTCTTTTTTATCTCAGAAATAACTGTAGAAACAATTTCAATTTCTCTTGAGTGAAGAGAGGTGAATGACACTAGCAAAAAAGATGCTATTTAACTTTTTTATATTTTTTTTAAGTAATTATAAGAGTATTTGTTATTGTTGTGGATGTTTGAGTTGCTAAAATATTAATTTATTTTTTGTGTAGGTTACATAATTTGTGGTGAACTGGCACAGGCAAAGTAGTTATGATTTTAATGTATTTGTGTTTGTGTACCAATTATGGTGGATTGTATTTGTGTAACAATTATGGTGGAGTGTATTTGTTTAACAATTATAGTGGATTGTATTTGTAACAATTATGGTGGATTGATAGCTAAAACAATTATAATTGTTGTTGTAATTGTTTTAGATTTTAGTATTATTGATTTATTGTGTTGTTAACATGGTACATGTTATTTAATTAAATTGTTAAAATGATTCAAAAATTAATAGTTACAAAAGTGTTTATCTGTCTTCCTACCCGATTAATCGGGTAGGAAGTTGGGTAGGAATACTACACCTGATCGGGTAGGGTAAGGTAAGAAAAAATTCT